TCAAAGTTGGGCAGACGATAACGGACTTACCTTTAACACTTCAAAGTGTAAAGTAGTCCATCTGCGACATGTCGCAAACTACAGTTACAACTTAGGAAACTCCTCTCTAGTAGTATCCCAAGTCGAAAAAGATTTAGGAGTCCTGGTGCCCCATGACTTAAAGTCTTACGCTAACTGTGACAAAAATGCCTTCCGAGCAAACCTTGCACTGGTAACGTTGAGGCGCATTTTTGGCCAGTTTGACGGAAGAACTTTCCACACAATCTTCAATAGTTTCATCCGTCCCCATTTAGAGTACGGAAACATAGTACTCCCCCCTCACTCCAAAAGGACAAGGTCACTTTGGAGCGTATCCAACGGCGAGCCACGAAATCAGTTCGAGGACTCAAATCTAAGCCTTACGAAGAACGCCTCCGTTCACTAGACCTTTACCCACTAGAATATAGGCGTCTTAGAGGTGATTTATTAATGGCTTATAGTATTCTTAACACTTCTGGACATCCTCTTAAACACCTACTTAAGCTTAGTTCGAATAATAACCTAAGGGGTAACACCCAGAAACTGGAAACACAACATAGCAAGACGGAATGTAGACACAACTTCTACTCCTTAAGAGTTGTCAAAAGCTGGAACTCGCTGCCGGCCGAGCTAGTCCAAGCGACTTCTCAGGAGTCCTTCAAGAGGCAACTTGACCTATTCTTAAGGACCAAGGACAGCATCACACTATGATTTACCAATTTCTTTTCCTCTTTTATTGTTAACATACCTAGGTTCCTGCCTGGAGGATTTCGTGATCCCCTGCTACTAGACACGGAAGCCTGTTAAGCGAAAGCTTCTTCTATTCCGTCCACAACCATTTGAACCATTTGAAGGTCACGGAGCCAAGTTCAACACGCGATGCTAACATACGATCGGTTCACAGCGGATTTTAGAGAGAAGGTGATTAATGAGAGGTTAAAAAAGATGGGACGGCGAACTCTAATTTGGGGACGAGCCAATGAGAAGCGTTTGAGCAATTTCAATTATTAGCCAATCAGAAGACAGTATAAAGCAAAAATATATTACAAGAAAGTAATGAATTACTGTGAATATTCTTCTTTTACATGATTTAAAAACTTGTTGAGGTTTGATAAAGGCTCAGAAGTTCTGAATTCATAATGCATATTGTAGAGAAACTCGTCCATAGGGTTTGGGGTTAAGGTGTTTGGGTTAAGGTTAGATTAGGGTTTAGGGTTAGGTTAAGGTTAGGGTTAGGTTAGGGTTTAGGGTTAGGTTAAGGTTGGGGTGCTAACATGCGATCGGTTTGCATCGGATTTTAGAGAAGGTGTTTATTGACAGGTTACAACCCCACGCTGACCCTAACAATAACCCTTAACCCTAACCTCCAACCCTAACCTTTAAAATCCGTTGTAAACTGGTCGCATGTTAGCACCCTAACCCTAGGCTACAACCCTAACCACACCCTATGGACGAGTTTCCATACCATATGCATTATGAATTCAGAGCCTCTGAACCTTTATCAAACCTTAGCAAGTTTTTAAATCATGTAAAAGAAGAATATCCACTGTAATTCATTACTTACAATATATTCTCATTTTATGCTGTCTTCTGATTGACTAATAATTGTCAAGGTCATTCGTTCAAAGGTCGTCGCTAAATTAGTCTCGTCACCTAATGTACTTCTTTCAGACAGGTCTCAAAATTGTCCCAACTTGTAAATCTTCGAGATAACATAATATCATTGAAGATTCGTCCTATATCATGCATCATCACGATGGCATCGTCTTCGTTACTGAAGAATGAACGTTACCAGACATGGTGTGGCTGAACTCAATTCAAATCTAAAAATGTCTCGATTTGACCGCTTCTGAAATTTTTCACGAATTGTCGATGTGACGCACCAATCATTTTGCGACAGTTTGACCTTCAAGTGCTCGCAATCCCCCTTAGTGGACGATACGCTAGGAGCGTTGCCTTTGAATTGAGTTCAGCCACACCATGTCCTGAGCGTTCATTCTTCAAGTAACGAAGACGATGCCATCGTGATGATGCATGATATAGGACGAAACTTCAATGATATTATGTTGCGCGCTATTTAAAAAAGACGGTGGTATTTTTCCTCGCTGAGTAAATTTGTTTGTTCTGATCTTTTATTACGTATCAAGACTACTGATTTCACTTTAATTGAATTTATTTTAGTTAAAGTATTCGATCAGAGTGTCGTTTTTACTGTTCTCTCAATTAGTTTTCTCGTTGGTACTCATGAGTACCCCTTTTTTCAACTGTATCTATTAGTACTTTTGGTCCTAGCAATCTACAGCTCTTCACTTTTTTGGTCATTGCTTATTTTTTTGTTTCTGAGTATCATTGCATCTTCAAAAAGAACCCCTCCTAAATGACCGGACAGTGCAAAAAAAGCAATTGCCAACGTCCGGTTTGTCGTTATACTGTCGAAAGCGGCATGCAGTGCGATGAGTGCAAAGGCTGGTACCACGAAGTTTGCACGAATTTAACGCCTGCGGCTTCCAAACGGTTCAGTAAAAAGGGTTGCGTATGGCTTTGTCAACAGTGCTGCTCGGATGCAAACAGCTTGTTAACCGAGGCTATCTCACTGGTTGATGCTGCAAAATGTGCTTTAGCAAGCATAGTCGGAACGCATCAAACAGCACTCGATCTATCGACACGCAAATCAACGTAAAGGAAACTAAGGTTAGTCCGATGATAGATGGCTCACGCCCATCAAAGAAGCAAAAGCAGTCTCCAAAGGGGCCTGCCTTAAACAAAAGCTCAAGAAAAGTAGGGTCTTCTGTTCCCCGTCTCCCAGATGGGATACAACAGGAAACACCTAGAAGCCTCAATCGCAAGGCTCGATCGGTTCCAAGCGATAAGCATAAACCGACCTCTTAGGTCGTCGACAACCCCCCCAAATCGAACACTAGGTTTGACGCAACTGTTATTGCTTCTATCAACACCGTTGACGAATGGGTACAGGTTGTAAGGCAGAAACAACGTAGCGATATAAAAGACAATCCTGCCCCCGTAAAAGTAGTTGAAAAATCGAAAGCTGATCACAGCGACAGATCAGATATTTTTCATAGAATCAAGGAGAGCGAGAGCTCTGAACCAAAAGCTCGTTTTGAGCATGACATTGTGCTGATTAAACAGCTGCTTAATCAACTCATGCCTCAAAATATCACCGGGGTCACCTTGCTAAAGGTGTACAGACTAGGGAGTCTAGCGAACTTGAAACCAAATCAATCCAGACTGCTTAATGTAGTATTCAAATCTTCGAACGAACGCGACCTAATTTTACAGAATGGACATAAATTAAAGGATTCAGCAGTTTTTATCCGTAAAGACTTGCCGTTGACAGACCGTGTAAAAAGATGGGAAGCCGAAAAAGAACTACAACTTAGGTTAGACGCTGGCGAAAAAGACCTGACAATTGTAAGTTTTCGGGTTGTAAGACTTCGACAGAGAATGATGCCGAAGCCACACTGGGTGAAGCACGAAGGCACTTAAACAGGCTTCGGATCTATTACACCAATGCACGAAGCTTACTTAATAAGCGATCGGAACTAGGTGTACAGATTGACTCTACAAAGCCAGACATAATCGCAGTAACAGAAACCTGGCTGACACAGGCTATAGATAGTATGGAACTTGATTTCGAGGGTTTTACGCTAGTAAGGGCCGACAGAACACAAAAACGCAAAGGAGGGAGAGTAGCTCTATTCATTAGGAATGCTATCCCATTTGCCATTATCGATAGTGTATCCCATGAGAGTGGGACGTGTGAATTAGTTAGTCTTCGCCTAAAATGCAAGGGACAAGAGCTGCTGATTGGTTTGGTCTATTGCCGGGAAGTCAATGTGGGCTCGCCGTTACCGGCGACATGTATTAAGCCTGGGCAACCACACAAACAACCGTGTTGAAAGTGCTCATAAACACCTAAAAGAATGTCTCAGAAGAGGTGATTCCCTGCTATTGACGTTCTGGAAAATTTGAAGTAAATAGACATTGACCTACGTTTGCGTTCATATGACGTTGTAAATGATCTTCAACGTTTTCTAATTCTCCAGGTAAGAAATATAGTTGAATGTATCATTAATTCCAGGTTCCAATGTCATTTCGAACTCTTCTAAATGAGTTCACATCGTTTGCAGAACGTCAATAGCAGGGAATCACCTCTTCTGAGACATTCTTTTAGGTGTTTATGAGCACTTTCAACACGGTTGTTTGTGTGGTTGCCCAGGCTTAATACATGTCGCCGGTAACGGCGAGCCCACATTGACTTCCCGGCAATAGACCAAACCAATCAGCAGCTCTTGTCCCTTGCATTTTAGGCGAAGGCTAACTAATTCACACGTCCCACTCTCATGGGATACACTATCGATAATGGCAAATGGGATAGCATTCCTAATGAATAGAGCTACTCTCCCTCCTTTGCGTTTTTGTGTTCTGTCGGCCCTTACTAGCGTAAAACCCTCGAAATCAAGTTCCATACTATCTATAGCCTGTGTCAGCCAGGTTTCTGTTACTGCGATTATGTCTGGCTTTGTAGAGTCAATCTGTACACCTAGTTCCGATCGCTTATTAAGTAAGCTTCGTGCATTGGTGTAATAGATCCGAAGCCTGTTTAAGTGCCTTCGTGCTTCACCCAGTGTGGCTTCGGCATCATTCTCTGTCGAAGTCTTACAACCCGAAAACTTACAATTGTCAGGTCTTTTTCGCCAGCGTCTAACCTAAGTTGTAGTTCTTTTTCGGCTTCCCATCTTTTTACACGGTCTGTCAACGGCAAGTCTTTACGGATAAAAACTGCTGAATCCTTTAATTTATGTCCATTCTGTAAAATTAGGTCGCGTTCGTTCGAAGATTTGAATACTACATTAAGCAGTCTGGATTGATTTGGTTTCAAGTTCGCTAGACTCCCTAGTCTGTACACCTTTAGCAAGGTGACCCCGGTGATATTTTGAGGCATGAGTTGATTAAGCAGCTGTTTAATCAGCACAATGTCATGCTCAAAACGAGCTTTTGGTTCAGAGCTCTCGCTCTCCTTGATTCTATGAAAAATATCTGATCTGTCGCTGTGATCAGCTTTCGATTTTTCAACTACTTTTACGGGGGCAGGATTGTCTTTTATATCGCTACGTTGTTTCTGCCTTACAACCTGTACCCATTCGTCAACGGTGTTGATAGAAGCAATAACAGTTGCGTCAAACCTAGTGTTCGATTTGGGGGGGTTGTCGACGACCTAAGAGGTCGGTTTATGCTTATCGCTTGGAACCGATCGAGCCTTGCGATTGAGGCTTCTAGGTGTTTCCTGTTGTATCCCATCTGGGAGACGGGGAACAGAAGACCCTACTTTTCTTGAGCTTTTGTTTAAGGCAGGCCCCTTTGGAGACTGCTTTTGCTTCTTTGATGGGCGTGAGCCATCTATCATCGGACTAACCTTAGTTTCCTTCACGTTGATTTGCGTGTCGATAGATCGAGTGCTGTTTGATGCGTTCCGACTATGCTTGCTAAAGTACATTTTGCAGCATCAACCAGTGAGATAGCCTCGGTTAACAAGCTGTTTGCATCCGAGCAGCACTGTTGACAAAGCCATACGCAACCCTTTTTACTGAACCGTTTGGAAGCCGCAGGCGTTAAATTCGTGCAAACTTCGTGGTACCAGCCTTTGCACTCATCGCACTGCATGCCGCTTTCGACAGTATAACGACAAACCGGACGTTGGCAATTGCTTTTTTTGCACTGTCCAGTCATTTAACAGGGGTCGTTTTTAATAAAAGAACTAGATGCAACAATACTCAGAGACGAAAATGATGTATGACGAAAAAAAACGGTCAAAGGTTGTTAATAAATATTAGTCTCAGCGCTCTTCCATGATGTCTGTTTCGACTGGTTCATGATGTTTTGTATCGGAGAATCCAGCTTTTCTCTTTGTGTATGTTGAGACCTTCTCCTGCTGCTATACTGGCTGTATTCTCCTGCATTTATTGTTGCGTGTGCGATAGAAGAACAAAATCATTTGTGGAGACTATATCGTACAGCTGGATCCCAGTTGTCCACTGTATCCCGTGCTTCCCCCGCAGATGTTGTTATCTTCATAATGCAGTCGATCGCCAGGAGAAAGAGAAAGGGTAACAACAACCTTGCCTGACAGCGGTCTTTACCTCTAACGAGTCTGTCAACTGTCCTCCATGCACGATTTTGCACTTTAATTCATCATAGGAATTCCGTATAATATTGACTGTCTTCTCAGGCACGCCATAGTGTCGAAGAAGCCTCCATAATGTTGTCTGCCCGCGCTATCAAATGCTTTCTCATAGTCAATAAAGTTGATGTAGATTGATGAATTCCATTCAATTGATTGTTCTGCGATTGTCCATAGTGTTACACTTTGGTCTGTACATGATGGATCTTTACGGTATCCAGCCTGTTGGTCTCGAAGTTGGGCGTATACGGAGTCCTTCATTCTGTTTAACAATACCCTGTTGAAGACTTTTACTGGTATTGAGAGAAGAGTGATGCCCCTATAGTTCTCACACTTGCTGAGATCGCCTTTCTTTGGTATCTTGATCACGCGTCCTTCCTTCCAGTCTGTTGGTACTTGTTGTTCATGCCAATTCTTGCTGACGAGAATGTTGTGTATCTTTGCAGTTGCCGCTACATCTAATTTCAGTACCTCTTCTGGAATGTTGTCTGGTCCTGTTTATTTGTCTGGTGGCCATGCTAACCTCTTCAATTGGTGAGCCAACATCGATTGTGAGGCCCGTGGGTGCTGCTCCGATGTTGAATGGGTACAGTAGGGCTGGTCGATTTAACAGTTCCTTGAAGTACTCTACTCACCTGCTTCGCTATTCGTGAATGTTGGTACTTACTTACTTATTTACGCCTGTTACTCCTCGTGAAGGAGCATAGGCCGCTCACCAGCATTCTCCATCCAACCCTGTCCTGGGCAATCCTTTCTAGCTCCGTCCAGTTGTAATTCATCGTTTTCATATCTGCTTCTATTATCCGACGCAATGTGTTCTTTGGCCTTCCTCTTCTCCGCTTCCCTTCAGGATTCCAAGTTAGGGCTTGCCTCGTGATGCAGTTTGACGATTTGCGTAATGTATGTCCTATCCATTTCCATCGTCTTTTCCTAATTTCTTCTTCAGCTGGAAGTTGGTTTGTTCTCTCCCACAGAAGGCTGTTGCTGATGGTATCCGGCCAATGGATGTTGAGTATCTTGCGTAGACAGTTATTTATAAATACTTGTAATTCTTGATTGTGGTTGTTGTAGTTCTCTAAGTTTCAGCTCCATACAGTAGAACTGCCTTGACGTTCGTATTGAAGATTCTTACTTTGATATTGGTTGAAAGTTGTTTTGAGTTCCATATGTTCTTCAATTGTAGGAATGCGACCCTTGCTTTGCCAATCCTCGCCTTTACGTCTGCATCGGATCCTCCTTGTTCATCGATGATGCTTCCCAGGTATGTGAAGGACTCTACATCTTCCAGAGTTTCGCCACCAAGTGTGATTGGATTGCTGTTCTCCGCTTTGAATTTGAGGACCTTAGTTTTCCCTTTGTGTATGCTGAGGCCTACTGATGCAGAGACTGCTGCTACACTGGCTGTCTTCATCTGCATCTGTTCGTGTGTACGTGATAGGAGGGCCAGGTCATCTGCGAAGTCCAAATCGTCTAATTGATCCTGAGCTGTCCATTGTATTCCGTGTTTTCCTTCAGATGTTGAGGTCTTCATTATCCAGTCGACCACCAGAAGAAAGAGGAAGAGGGAGAGTAAACAGCCTTGTTTGACTCCGGTCCTTACTCGGAATGCATCTGTCAGCTGTCCTCCATGCACTACTTTGCACTGTAGTCCGTCGTATGAGTTCCGGATAATATTGACAATCTTCTCAGGAACTCCGTAGTTTCGAAGAAGTTTCCATAATGTCTTCCTATCTACACTGTTGAATGCCTTTTCATAATCAATGAAGTTGATGTATAGTGACGAGTTCCACTCAACTGATTGTTCGACGATGATCCGTAGTGTTGCAATTTGGTCTGTGCACGACCGATCCTTACGGAATCCAGCTTGTTGATCTCGAAGTTGGGCGTCTACTGCATCCTTCATCCGGTTCAGCAACAATCGTCCTTTACCCGGGCTTGGGACCGGCAGCAACCCTATAAGAGCTACAGGCGGAGTTGTGAATGTTGGTGATTACTTTATATTCCTTGCTTTTCACTGATCGTTCTGGTTTACGACAATTTCCGGCGAGCTTCTCTATTGTATCACACAATTGTCTCATTTTACTTCTCTTGCAATCTTTTCCGCTGCCATTGCTAGATCTTCCAAATATTTACGCTTGTCGGCCCTGATGCTCCTCTTCAGTTGCTTGTTTACTTCTGTGTACTCAGCTTGTACCTTGGCGTTTTCTGCTCTTGTTCGGCTGGTATTGATTGCTGCCTTTTTGTTCTTCCTTTTTTGAATCTTTTCCAGCGTATCAACCGTGATCCATTCCTTGTGATGGTGCTTCTTGTGGTCCAGAACCTCATGACATGTTGAAGTGATTGCCTCCTTTCCAGTTACCCTCCTTATTAGTTCCCTCTCTATTGAGTAGATCGTGAAAGGCCTGGAACCCACTGCTGGGAACTATCTTGAGCTCGTTGAGTTTGTCCGTATCCTGAAAAAAGCCGTATTAAAGTTTTGTGGTGTCTGCTTCGTTGTCCAGTGTGCTTCCTGAGTTTCAGTTTCATCTTGACAACCAGCAGATGATGATCTGATGCTGTATCAGCCCCTCTATCGGTTTTTACGTCCTGCATTGTCCTTCCGGACTATTTATTGATGCGGATATGGTCGACTTAGTTCTGTGTAGTGTGATCCATGTGGCTTTGTGTATGCGTTTATGTCCCATGATATCTTCATACCTGATGTTGTCCATTCCGACTTTATCATTTACGTCTCCCATCAGAATGGTCATGTCCCTTGTTGAACATTTCTCAACGATTGACTACAGTCTATCGTAGGATTGATCTTAGACGTCTTCATTGTAATCGTTGGTAGGTGCACAGCAGTAGATGACGTTCATTGTAATGCCCTCTTTCTTTGTTTCAAAGGAGGCTTTGATGATCCCGGGTCTTTGAGATTCTCATCCTATGAGTGCAGTTTGTGTTTGTTTTGATAGCATCAATGCAACTCCTTGTGTATATGGGGCATTTTCTTCTTCATGGCCGGACTATAATAAAAGATCCCCTGAAGCCAGTCGTTGTTCAACCTGCGTCTAGTGTGTTTCACTGAAATCAAGCACCTCCAGGTTGTATTTTTTCAGCTTCGTGATTTCCAAAGAAACTCGGCTTTCATCACGAAACGTCATAACTCTTCTAAATAAAGATCTAACTCATAGGTCAGAGTTTGAATGGTTTGAGTTATTTTTCCGGTTAGCGTTTTCGTTTTCTACGAGTTAGGGTCACTAATTCCATGCCCAGACCTTCTCTTTGGTCCGGCAGTAGCCCCAGAGGTGCACCAGGCAGAGTTGATAATTCAACAAATTCAAACACAGTACATGAGTGAGTATGACTAGAGATCGCACTTATGGAAATCATCCCCGTTTCGTAATGCAAAACTCCAAATGAAAGTCTCGGTCATATTGGGTCTTTGTCTCACTAAGTCGAAATTTTTTTACTGAATATGAAAATAATGATTGTATTTAGGATTTCACAATAAATCTTGATACTAATGTACATCCAATGCTTTCTTTATTCCAGAAAATGTATGATTAGTGGTGGACACAGGTTTCTTTTTTCGGATATCGCAGTTTGTATATTAAAGACAGGAATTCTAAATACATGATTTTTGAGTTTCTGGTTATCAAGATTAGGGCATCTATAATTGGGCTAGAAATTTAATAATGAATAAAGTAAGATGGTTACTTCTGAAAAATATCCTGATAACGTGGTTGGTAACTGTTGAAATTGCGATTATCTGGTCACTTCTCAGACACCGTATTCTAATGTTCGAAATCCTGCTAGGTCCTTGAAAACTGATGTCAATTCCATTTCTGTTACGATATTCTAAAAATCTAGTTACGGAAGAAGATGAACTCGCGATGGAGTAGTCAGTCAGCTACAACGTAGGACCAGGCACATATGTGCATCGGTCCAGGTTGCCATACCTCATTAGCACAGCAAGATGAACACCGGATTCATAGGAGTGGTTAGGTCAAAGGTTGCAATAAGGATATAGTATAGGATCGCGATGGAGCGAAAAAATATCAAATATTAGCAAAACCATCAAAATGAAAGACTGTTCGGGTATTAAGTGATTGGATTCTAAAAAGGTTACATACTATCGTCGAGATTTTTCCTGACTATCTGCAAGGATTTTGCTGAATAGCGTCAGCCGAATCATTTCGCACTTAAGGGATAATGATTACCTTACTGATCATACTCCCATATAGATGGAATACACTTTCAAGATCTGTCTATGTACGTCCTTGGTCTAAATGTTAATTCGAAACTTGAGTCTATTCTAGATTATACGGAAGCTACCTCCAGTTCTGAGTCTATCATACATTCAACTAATTTTTATTGGAGACGTAATGTAAACTACTAAAATCCAGATAATCATTGGATCTCCAAAGAATATGTTTTTATGGTCTTTATTGATAGATTATGATATCACAGTTCAACTGTCTCTGAAGTATATTCATAAATATCAAATTCTCAAATATTACTAATATACAGGGAAAATATGTATGTAACTTATCGATATAGAAGAAGCAGAACGATACTGTAATGTGAATTAATTTCCAATCATATTGATCCATAATGAGGGCGAATATTATAAACAATTGTATTGATGATAAGTAGGAAATAAGACACTTAGCCATGTATCAATATTGACCGTCCGCTACATATATAGTATCAAAATTATTCAACCCAAGAATTCGGAAGCTCATCTGGTTTCAGACCTGACCGGTGATGTGTAGACAAAATATTCTCCCATCATCAGGTTCTAGAGAAGATATACTTCCCGATATCTGGCTACAGTAGTATTTCTTAACCCCAAGGCAGTACTTGACTCTGAGATGGTTGGGCCACGTGTTACGTATGCCCGGACACCGATTACTACGACGTGCAATGCTAACCGGTGTTCGGGATGGTTGGAAGAAAGTTAGGGGCGGCTAAACCAAAACATGGCATCAGTGCTTGAGGTCACTAACTTCTAGTCTGAGCCATGTTGGTAGATGCAGACTACTTGGTTGGGGTCCACGTGACTATCGTAACCAATGGTTGGAGACTCTTGGTGGCATGGCTCAGAATTGATCAGAATGCCGTCGGTGTATATACTGTCTGTCTTCGCTTAAACTAAGATTAAAATCGCATCATATCTTCCTTTCCGTACTATATCCTTATTGCAATCTTTCTTTTATATATTACCACTGAATCAACTACTTTTATGAATCCGGTGTCCGTCTTGTTGTGTTAATGAGGTATGGCAACTTGGACCGATGCATACATGTGACTGGTCCTGCGTTGAGCTGATTGACAACTCTGCAGAACGAGATTATCTGTGTCGAAGTTTGCCATTGAAAAGCATACCAAAGAAGTACATTAAACTTGTATAGAACTTTGTCAAATGCTTTTGGTTAAGTATGAGCTTACGGCGTACTATTAATATTGAGTGGTGTTCGTCATGTTTATCCACTAACTGTCTTTTTAATTTCTTCATAGATTTCCTACCAGAAATAAAGTTTCGCTTGACTTTCTAGGGGTTGATCTACCACCAGATGTTAACTTGTCAACTTAGATTATGCGGATGACAGTCTTACATGGTGAAGATGCTTACAAAATGTGGGGTCTTCCAACCACCTGAAGCAACAATGCATTTTTGGAATGCGTTCCTCTCACTATAAATTCAAACTATTGCTTCAGGAGTGGTCTACAACAACGTCTGAACCGGCAAAAGGGAATACAGTATTTTAGCTTCACTTATTGTCAAAGTTTCATTAGCCTTGAGGGTTTGGTGTCCGACGAAATGTTGACATGGAATCAGAAAGCTCGGTTAACCTTCGTCAATTTGCGTCACCTGTAGACTAGATGAGATATCCATCTGTCAAAGAAAGGACGAGTTTCCTGCTCAGCGGTTGGCTTTGCTAATAAGAAACATAAACTTTGAATTTGTAGGTTGTCAGTATTCGATCAAACATGCCTTCAAACCATAGCTAGTATTTCTTAGGACTATCGAGTTAGCAATTCTGAGGTTAGATACAGAGTAGGTATAAATGGAAAACCGGTTGGTGAGTTTGCGAATCTTCGTCGATTGCGATGGTTGGAACATATTGCATACGTCTAGCCACCACCTACCTCGCCGCGTGATGATTCCTGGTGTAAGAGCAGATTGGTAACTTGACGAGGCCAAACTAAAACAAAAGTCTATGGGTTCTGTGACTGTTGGACGGGAGCGTATATTTAGGTGCAGACTAACTTGTTCAGATCCACACGATCATCGTAACAAGTGATTGGAAATTCCGGGTGATATGGCTTAGAATCGTGTAGGTGCATTCACTCCTAGAAACTGAGTCACGAAACCTTAGACATTTCTCTAGACCTATATTTTTCTGTTTGTACTGATTCCGATGCGTTACTGTTATGTGTTGTTGTAGTTTTATCTCGGTATGCTGGCAAGGAATGGTAACTTGAGCCAAACACATGTCAAGTTTCATATTGCATGCGACTGACTGGTGCCAACCGGTAAAGCTGAACTGCTATCCCCATAGGTATATGTTATATCCGAGCGAAGATTAAATTACGAGAAACTTCTGAGAAATTAATTGACTAATATCTATCTATTCTAATGGTGTAACTATTCAATAATTAGATTATGTATATATTATCTTAGTAAAATGTAAGAACCGTATAGTAAATACTTCAATTGTAAAATGTCAGTCAATCGTCTCAGATTTCATTGTTCTTCCGTTTCCACACCAATTATTCTTTGTACTCGTTCTCTTCGATCTTATTAACATTCCGCTTCAGGGTATTTCACTTTAATATTTCACATTATTACAGCATTTAATACGTTGTACAGAAATTGTCAAGGACGGATTCTTAAGTTTATTTCACTTTCGATTGATGATGATACATGCTACTTATATCCATTGACATCAGTAACACACATTAGTATATCCGAGCGAACATTAAATTACGGGTAACTTCCGAGGAGTATTAATAGACTGATATTATCTATACATTCTTATGGTAAAACTATTCAGTAACTAGATTATGTATATTTATATTCTTCTTATTATAAGCTTTATTTTGACCTATAATTTATTATTGTACGATTTACGGTTCTTAAGCTATGTTCAGTTTATTGACTACTGCCTCCCACGTTCACAGCCACATTTGGCCAAATATTGTACAAATGTTATTTTCTATTTTATGGTACGTTGTGGTCTGTCTAATTGATATATAAACCGAGTATGTCTGAAATAAACGATTCGATTCATATTGCAGAAGCTGGTATTGTGTTCTGGACTCAAGTGGACGGGCTAGACGGATATAGGACCAATAAGGACGCTAGATTGCTCATACCGGTCGAACGTCATCAGTTTGGCATGGTGCGAAGATTTGTATAAGTCGTATTTTGATTGGTGGACAAATCACGTGATAAAACCCGGAAATAAATCATAACAATATCCAAGTTAGTTCACCATGGTTCCGTTCTCCTTTACTTCAGCCTGGCTATAGCATTCTTAACGTCCTTAGCTATGGACTTATGTTGACCTCCTATGAACGTTGTTTGTTAATAGTAGGTAGCCGGAGGTTAGTTGAACTATTCAGGTGCTCCGCCTGTCGTTCCCATCGTCTGGGTTGAGGTCACGGTGCGGAATTCCTCAGAGATAGTTTCATTGGATTTTCGAATATTTGCCTGATAGGCTCGGGTTGTTTGGCGTTACTGACCGCCGATGCCTTTTCCATTTTTCTCACCCCATCACTGGTTACAATTACTGCACAAACTCATTGTTGGTTTACGTTTGTGTCTTTGCAACTTAAATATTCAGGGCATGGGGTCGGTCATCTAGCATCGACCAAAGCAGTAGACCCCAGACACCATGCGGTCTTTCCCAACGACTTAGTGCTTTGGAGATGGCTTTTTCGGAAGTAGAACCTACGAGATACAGCCGCCAGATCGGACAACACTGGTGTTGGGTGGGTAAGACTACCGAGCTGTATGGCCGGGCCAGTTACACAAACCTAGGATTTTTGATCCAGTATTAAAGAATGCATAACTGATGATAAAACTATCGGTGGTTAGCAAAGAACTTGGGCCTAGTCACAAAACTGCCAAATGTTCGTACGGATTCTGATAATTCGGCACTTAGTAGTACAAGTAGAAGTACTGAGAAACTTTACTGATACGTCCATAGTTGTGCACAACTACATGGTTGCATAACACCACTGTGAATTTGAGTAGCCATACGAAATGAGATATATGGGAGTTGCGGAACAAGACAGTCAATAAGTGCTAGCGATGGTTTATCCAACCATTATTAGCAGGAATTCACCTGATGTACATTGGATCGTAATCGTATCCCTTGAGACGCCGATCACTAGTGAGGATCTTCAGAAAGATTAGTAAACCGTGATATCGTCAAAGGTTGATTTGAACTGCCACAACACCGATTAACAGTCAGAGACTAACCAGTTTGTCAGTCAAACACAACGACGAACCTGACG